AACAGTATTATTATTATTATTCTTATTATTATTATTATTATTAGTAGTAGTAGTAGTAGTAGTAGTAGTAGTTAGTAGTAGTAGTAGTGATAGTAGAAGTAATAGTAACAGTTGTAGTGGTAGTAATAATGGTGATAGTAGGAGTGGTAGTAGTCGTAGTAGTAGTAATAGTGATAGAGGCAGTAGTAATAGTGGTAGTAGCAGTAGTATAGTCGAAGTAGTAGAAGACGCAGTAGTAGTAATAGTGGTAGTAGTAGTAGTAGATGTGGTAGTAATAGTAGTAGTACTTACAGTAGGATTTCTAGCTGTGAAAAACCAGCTCTAATTCTGTCTTCTTTAGTGACATCATACCCCGTTTTTTTTTTTATACACGTCACTGTGTTACTGAGGCTCAGCCCAGGTTTTCAAGTGGGCAACGTAGCCGACGGTGGCAGTGGAGACCGGCGGTGGCAGTGGAGACCGGCGGTGGCAGTGGAGACCGGCGGTGGCAGTGGAGACCGGCGGTGGCAGTGGAGACCGGCGGTGGCAGTGGAGACCTGCTAGACGCAGCTTCCCTATACCGTCAGCTTTTACAAAGCTCCACTATAAAGACCGATTTTTTTTTTACTGTAAATATAAATGTCAAAATCCTTCCGATATTACATAGCGAGTGAAAAAGTCTTTATTGTACTCGTTGTACTATTTTGGATAAACTTTTTCAATTGCATTTCCAAAAAACGTGATGTATAGAATAGCTCCATAGTAGAGCTTACAGAATTACACTGATTTCATCTACGTCGACAGACTGAGGTAGACAGATTGTAGACCAGTAGACCAATTATTTTGAGCAGCGAGTCCACAGCTCTTTCTTAGATAAGCTCTACAGGCGCGCTCTCCTTTCGATAGAAAGCTCTTATTATATTTAGGGGTGAGTGTTAAAGCCATAGTGGCCGTAAAGTGCCTCTGTAAATAGGATTTAATCGGGTTTGATCCGAGGAACAGGAGCATGTCAAATGGTAAATGGTTAACAATCTCTCAGATTGGCGTTTTCGATCGTTTTGAAAATCAAGGGATGTTAAATAAACTCTCTAAGTCTAGTAGTATCTAAATCTAAGTTTGTAGCCAGTCAGGCAGTCTTGTATCATCAAATTCGCTTTTGAACTAAAGTAAGAAATGACTGAGGAGATAGAGGTGAAACCCAAAAATTTTGCTTCAAGCACGCTGGAACTTTATCAATAACATCAGCAATAACATCAAGAATATCAGCAATAACAACAATAACATCAGCAACATCAGCAATAGCATCAACAATAGCATCAGCAATAACATCAGCAATAACATCAGCAATAACATCAGCAATAACATCAGCAATAACATCAGCAATAGCATCAGCAATAACATCAACAATAGCATCAGCAGTAACATCAGCAATAACATCAGCAATAACATCAGCAATAACATTAATAGAATCAGCAATAGCATCATCAATAACATCAATAACATCAGCAATAACATCAACAATAGCATCAGCAGTAACATCAGCAATAACATCAGCAATAACATTAATAGAATCAGCAATAGCATCAGCAATAACATCAATAACATCAGCAATAACATCAACAATAGCATCAGCAATAACAACATCAGCAATAACAACAACAACAACAGATAAACTTACAAACAAAAAACAACCTTACTAACACATGTACCTAATAATTTAACAGCTCCAAGTCTGAGCCATCTTCCACCACCACAGCTGTGTCCCTCTCTAAATCATGAGAGAATGCAAGACAAGTGTCACCAGCAAACGGTTTACAAATCTAGGAAGGATCGATAAAACCAAGAGGACCGACCTCCTCATTGGCTGTGTCTTCTGTTTGCCTCATCCAGCACAACGGAGGAATTCCTTTTGAGAGGTAGATAGGTGGAGAGTCAGACAATGATGCCGTGTCATGCTTGTCTGAATTTCAATGAAGGTTTGGGAGAGAAAGGGGGAGGTGTGTTGGCATCTCAGGTAGGAGGGGATGATAGATTACGTCGGGGGGGGGGTGAATGATATGCTAGAAAGGGTAATGACAGATAATATGGGAACTGATATATCACGAAGGGATCGTGATTGATTAGCGTTGGGACTCGTAAGTCCGATGGAGATTTGTAAATAAGGAACGAGGCCTAATTTATGTGACTACGTTCCTCTGGCTGTCTCTCTGTCTCTATCCCTCTCCCTCTCTCTCTGTTCCTATCCCTCATCTCTCTCTCTCTCTCTCTCTCTCTCTCTCTCTCTCTCTCTCTCATATATATATACATCACTCATCACACACAAAAGCGTAATCAGATCCACTGAGTAAAGCCCTGTGATGCATGAAAGAAGGAAGAATTAGGCTGGCTTGGCTAGCAGTGTGTAATAATCTGGCTTGGTCTTGTGAATGCTCTGCCCATTGTAACTTTGGCAGTTGTTCTCCTCTTAACGTCTCCTCTTATTGATATTACGTCCCACACACTTTCATGAGTTGCCGCTCCCTCCAGCACTTGACTTTTCTCAGTACCATATAATACTAAGTTAGCTCTTTCTCTCTCTCTCTCTCTCTCTCTCTCTCTGATAATATTCGTTTTATAATGGGAGAGAGAGCATGTGTGTTTGTGTGTGCGTGTGTGCGTGTGTGTGCGTGTGTGCGTGTGTGTGTGTGTGTGTGTGTGTGTGTGTGTTTACTTATCTGATTGTCCTCACCTACTTTTGTTGACAAAGGGTCGAATTACAGCCTCAGATCTGCCCTTTCTCTGACCCTCACCAACCATCGACTTCAAATTCCTGCCTCTCCAGTGTTCTGCCATACTTGTTCTTAAAACTTTGAAATGGTACTTGCTTCCTCCACGTATTTGCCATACCTGGCACCTACCAGGAGAGTGTTCCGGGGGTCAACGCCCCCAGACTGAGAAAGTATTTTATGACCAACCTGATCGTTAATCAGCCTTTTCAGAGGCAAACTGTAACCTCAAGTTTCTTTTCGCGTCCCAGACAGCCTTTTTCTTTCCACCTGTTTAATCTCTAAATTTTCAGGACGTCTAGAATGATAAACGTTCAGAACGTTTTTTAATAGTTTAACACGTTTTATGGCCTCTTATTCTTTCAGAGTATCGGGTTAAATATTTATTTTTATAAGATTATTTAACCTTATAGGGTAATTTAACATTCTTATCTAACCTACTCTAACCTAAGATAACTAATAATAAATTAAATAACATTTTTAAATTTAGAGAAAGTCTTAGAAAACTGACATTGGAAAATAAAACGTAATCAAATTAAAGCCTTAACAATTCTCTCCTCGCTGACACCCACAATTCTCTCCTCGCTGACACCCACAATTCTCTCCTCGCTGACACCCACAATCCTCTCCTCCCTGACACCCACAATCCTCTCCTCCCTGACACCCACAATCCTCTCCTCCCTGACACCCACAATCCTCTCCTCCCTGACACCCACAATCCTCTCCTCCCTGACACCCACAATCCTCTCCTCCCTGACACCCACATCCCCCCGACACCCAATCTCTCCTCCTGACACCCCAATCCTCTCCTCGCTGACACCCACAATCCTCTCCTCGCTGACACCCACAATCCTCTCGCTGACCCCATCTTCCTCGCTGACACCCACAATCTCTCCTCGCTGACACCCACAATTCTCTCCTCGCTGACACCCACAATCTCTCCTCGCTGACACCCACAATCTCTCCTCGCTGACACCCACAATCCTCTCCTCGCTGACACCCACAATCCTCTCCTCGCTGACACCCACAATCCTCTCCTCGCTGACACCCACAATCCTCTCCTCGCTGACACCCACAATCCTCTCCTCGCTGACACCCACAATCCTCTCCTCGCTGACACCCACAATCCTCTCCTCGCTGACACCCACAATCCTCTCCTCGCTGACACCCACAATCCTCTCCTCGCTGACACCCACAATCCTCTCCTCGCTGACACCCACAATCCTCTCCTCGCTGACACCCACAATCCTCTCCTCGCTGACACCCACAATCCTCTCCTCGCTGACACCCACAATTCTCTCCTCGCTGACACCACAATCCTCTCCTCGCTGACACCCACAATCCTCTCCTGCTGACACCCACAATCCTCTCCTCGCTGACACCCACAATCCTCTCCTCGCTGACACCCACAATCCTCTCCTCGCTGACACCCACAATCCTCTCCTCGCTGACACCCACAATCCTCTCCTCGCTGACACCCACAATCCTCTCCTCGCTGACACCCACAATCCTCTCCTCGCTGACACCCACAATTCTCTCCTCGCTGACACCCACAATTCTCTCCTCGCTGACACCCACAATTCTCTCCTCGCTGACACCCACAATTCTCTCCTCGCTGACACCCACAATTCTCTCCTTGCTGACACCCACAATCCTCTCCTCGCTGACACCCACAATTCCCTCCTCTCTGACACCTACAATTCCCTCCTCGCTGACACCCACAATTCTCTCCTCGTTCGTCAGCTGCCTAACTTCTGTTATCAATCTCTCCCTTAAATTTGAAAATTGCTGAAGTTTCTTAACACCCTCTATCAGGAGGCGGCTTCCTGCTGGCGCTGCATACTCTATGATGTGCCTGACATACCACACAAACAAGCTTCCAACTTTTTCCTTGTTAAATTTTTTATATGCCAGATACATACTGAAAAGTTCACACAATTAATGTTTTTCTGGTAACACGTCTTAAGGTAACACGTCTTAAGAGCAGCACCTGTTAAAGTGTATTCCATGGCACTTGATTTGACCTCATTCAGTATCCCTCTGCTTGGCACTTATTTTGATTATATATTCTCCACTATTCTAGCCACGTTCTGTAAATCATCTAGTAGCGCCTTTAAATCATCTTACAGTAACTTTAAATCATCTCGTAGCGTGTTTAAATCATTTCGTTACGTGTTTAAATCATGTGGTAGCGTCTTAAACCGTCTCGTAGCGTCTTTAAATCATCTCGTAGCTACTCCCATCTTCAGTAACACGTACAATGCAGTTTTATACGATAGGTAATATTTGTAGACAAGGAGGATCAAGGTTTTAGTTACAGATATTTGATGCCTCCTCTCTCACCGTCACTTTCGCTCTCTGTTCTCCAGTGACGGACTGAAACGTCGTCATAAGCGTCTCTCTCTCTCTCCTATGTACGGGTTATTTGTGTATTGTTCCAGTCACGTTATTGTGCCTTTTTGTTCCTCAAGAGTTGTTTATATATTCAACACTACAAAAGATTATGTCTCTCTTATGAAAATTACCTTCAAAAGCCCCTGAATGCAAAGACAAAAGTCACATCATACTGTTGATAAAACGTGTCGGTCTTTGTAGACAGTCTACATACAGCGAAATGTTGTGCTAGTCCAGGCTCTTTTTTCTGCATATTTGTCGGGTGATACTCTAGGTCATTCAAAATTACTGTTGCTGGTACTTTGTTTTGCTTGTGAGGAATTATAACATAATCAAAGAGGAGCACTGAAGCAGGTCTACTGGCCCATACTAGGCCTGTTTTTTCAAGTTAGTGATGGTTAAGGCTTCCTTGTGGGTACGGATTTATTGCTGAAGATAATCTTAACTGTAACTACATTTGTTAGTGAAGGGATATAAAAAAATGAATGTCCTCTCGTCCGTATATTCCGCAGAGAGCGAGAAAGTGTTCAGGAACGAGCGTACCACCTTGGGGAACACCTGCCCAGAGTTCAACCGCCGAAGACTCCTGAGGAAGGCCAAGATGAGAGCCTTGAGGATCTCTGTGGTGATCGTGCTGGCCTTCGTCATCTGCTGGACTCCCTACTACATGATGATGATCATCTTCATGTTCACTCAGGTCGAGGAAAATGTGAGTACAGGTGAAAGTGAGGATGAATTGTGTGTTTGGTGCATGTGAAGCAATGTTCGGTCTGTGTGGATCGGAGCAAATAGAAGTGGAGGTTCGATTCTCCGTCTGTCTATTGCAAGAAAGATCAGGTACCCAGGTTTAGGTAACGATAGAGCATCTTACGAATTGTCTTCTCCAAGGAGACGGATAGATTGAAGTGGTGGAAATCTGTCAATTCCCTCCCATGCTGTCCCATGTTGTCCCATGCCCTTCCATGTCCTGCCATGCCCTGCCATGCTCTCCCATACAGTGTAGTGTTGGTAATAGTGATTCTGGTGTCCTCTTTTTATTACTCATTTTCCTCTTATTTCACAATATATGGAATTTCTTTAGTAAATTTCTTAGTTTTTGTCAATCTCTCTCTCCCCTACTTTCTCTCTCTCTCTCTCTCTCTCTCTCTCTCTCTCTCTCCCTCTCTCCTATTCATATCCCCCGGTCTTGTCTGCTCACTCACAGGCCGCACCAATTAGCAAGGAAGTTACCACTAAAATATTACCCACAAATTATCCCGTTTCTGCACGACTAATTACACGAAGCGAAACACAGAAAAAAATTGCTAAAATGAAAATATTCTTTATTTTTCACGAAAGAAATAAACGTTAATTTATTCGGCCAGAAAATAAATAAACCAAATTCTAGTCAAAGGGAGAATTGCATGAAGTGTTTCTTCAATTAACAGAGGAAGGGCAGAGTATTTTTCCCCGGATAATTTCACTGTTGTGGTTGGCAACTCATTTCGAAATTTCGTGAGTTGGTATTTATAGGTATAATTTAAGTCTCCTCTAGCGTCATTTTTCCCTCCTGAGACAAATCGCTCTCTAACGAGCCTGTAATTTATTAAAAAAAATCTCTCCACCAAGTGAGACACTGGTTATTATTAAATTGGCCTTCTTGTTTATATATATATATTATATATATATATATATATATATATATATATATATATATTATATATATATATATATATATATATATATAATATATTTTATATATCTTAGTGGATGTGGGTTAATGATCACTCGGTTTTGTTTTTGTTTTCCTCTCCCATGAGTGTGTGTGTATTCTGACTAGTCGTTAAGAGTGATCCTGTGTCGTTGTTACGCACTTTAGTCGCTGGGGACAACAAGCGTGAGTAATGAGTCATTGGAGAGGGGGATGGGCTGTTTTAATGGAAAAATGTGTCACACCCACACACACACACACACCCACACACACACACACACACACAGAAACGAGGCACTAAACTACAGACCTGTGTCTCTGACATGTATTGTGTGCAAAGTCATGGAGAAGATTATCAGGAGGAGAGTGGTCGAACACCTGGAAAGGAACAAGATTATAAATGAAAACCAGCATGGGTTCATGGAAGGCAAATCTTGTATCACAAACCTCCTGGAGTTTTATGACAAGGTAACAGAAGTAAGACACGAGAGAGAGGGGTGGGTAGATTGCGTTTTCCTAGACTGCAGGAAGGCCTTTGACACAGTTCCCTACAAGAGATTAGTGCAGAAGCTGGAGGATCAGGCGCACGTAAAAGGAAGGGCACTGCAATGGATAAGGGAATACCTGACAGGGAGGCAGCAACGAGTCATGGTACGTGAAGAGGTATCACAG